TCCTCAACTTTAGAGAATAGGCGGGAGTTTTGCAATACATATTTAACGGTATACGTTATGTACATTTCTAAATATAAATTTAATTTAAACAAACATCTATATTATAACAAATATAGAATAATAAATCCGTCGCAATAACTTATTGTTTCGATTTATTTATTAGAATCCTTTCACACTACTTTTCACCTAGCGTCTTACCTTGATGCTCTCACGACGCTCTTTTTACTTTTGCCCTGTTTCCTCTGTATGTCCTCACTGTTCCTAGACATACTTTTATTCGCATTCTTTCATTTACTTTTATAAGATGTCATACTTAGAATTCGCATCAGGAATCTATCATATCCATCTAGTTTTTGTTTCAAGGCTTTAATCCCAACTTTCGTCATTATACAGTACTACTGGTGCTACAATGAAACGGTTTAACAATGTTTGGTCATTGTTATGAGCAACAAATACCAAAAACTAAGGCCCTGTGTTATTTTAAGTTTGATCAAAACTATTATTGGTCTCACAATATGAAATAATATTTTTAATTGTAAAATTATATGAGGAATAATAAAATAGGTAAATCACATAAAAAACAATAAAACCTTGGCGCTTTCGATAGCTCCACTTTTCGACAGTGCTAGGATTTTATCGTTTTTTTATGCGATTTAAATCTACATCATCAGTTTCTGATAGACTTTAAAAGTTCACAAGAAACATAGTTCTACATATACTATAATTCACTAGATGTCAATAAAGCACGAGAAATACTTAAAGTAAGAGATATATTTTTTCGTATATAAACAGGGAGTGTTCCTGTTCAGTTTAGTGCAGTATAAGCCTTTGGATTATATCGGCTACGTTTATCCCTGGTGGGGCCAGCTTATTGGTTGGATGTTAGCTTTGTCTTCAATGCTCTGTATTCCAGGTTATGCAAGTTTCAAGTTCATCGTAACCCCAGGAACTTTCAAGGAAGTAAGCATTTTGCCTGTTATTCGGGGTCTAATATCACCCCATTCTTTAACTAGAAATTATCTAGCTATTATTATAGCAAGCGGCAAAAACTAGTTGATTCAAGTGGATCTAATTTCACTTCATTCTTTAACTAGAAATTATCTGACTCAAATGTTTGGAAACCCCAAAAATTAGTTAATTTAAGTGGCTCAATTTCATTCATTCTTTAACTAGAAATATCTGATCAAAATGTTTTCAAACCCCAAAAATCAGTTAATTTAAGTGGCTCTAATTTTACTTTATTATTTAACTAGAAATATCTGACCGAAATGTTTTCAAACCCCCAAAATTAGTTAATTTAAGTGGCTCAATTTCATTCATTCTTTAACTAGAAATTATCTGACTCAAATGTTTGGAAACCCCAAAAATACCCCTATTAAGTCAAAATTGTTTCCTCCGTTTGATTGCGTTGTATCTGTACTGGTGATAGTTTCAACGAGTAGGGTGTTTCTACGTCACCAGTGAAATATCATTAATCTTACAAAAATTTAGACAGTTATCTGAACAAAACATTTGTTTTTATTTTACTATAATCAATAGCAGTGTTTAATGCTTGCCTCTTTATAACATATAAACTACCTATAGCTTCCTGTACTATGTTCTAATATAATCTCATCTATATCCATCTAGCGGTGTAAGAAACTATTCCGGCCTGACATTGATATCCAGTCTGAAATCAGAGAAAGAAAGTTACGAGAAGAGAGCATGACTCTAACAACGGCAGTCTGAGATGTTTTTAGAAAGAAGAATTAAAGCCTTGGCTAAAATAAAAAAAACACAACATGCTCTGTAGCGTAGAGATCAACTTTCAGACTACTGTAATGAAATTTAAGGTTTGGTGCCAAAATGTTAGGAAATTAGGCGGTGAAAGTGTTTTTGGCCAGTAGATGGCGCTAAAGTATTCATAGGTAGAGGACATAAATGTTGTTTTTTTATCGTCAGAATATTTACTTAATCAAATACTTTTTAGATGGGATATCTTAATAAATTTGTACTATTTACGTAGAATACATTTTGCACATTGCTTTATATATGTGTCTTAATATACACTTATAAGAGAAATAGTTATAACTATTATGGTGTGATTTCAGAGTAATCAAAACATGATCCATTCGTTATTCAGACTTTAATACTTGAACAGCTTTTAATGTTTCCTCGGTATTTTAAAACAAAAGCGTAGTAAGCAATGGACTTCGACTATAGCATATAATCTGCAGTTCATTTCATCTATTGTTCACACTTATTGACCAATGGAAAGTAAAATGTTACACAAACTCTTGTTCTATGATCGTGTTGAAAAAAACAGTCATTTTATTAGAGAGTGAAAACGTGGGTTGAGCAGTCTTCCTATAATCTACTTATTGTCTTACGATTTTTATACTTATTGGTGTAAAATCGGAGTGACATGTCCAGCAAATCGATATGACTTCGAAGTGTTCTTCTAGAGTAGGTCTCATTATCTTGATATTCAAAATGTAGATTTATATCTTCAGAATAACATAGAACTTGTGCGATAGAGACATAAGTGTTTTTGATTAGAAAAAATCGTCGTTTTCATCGTTTAAAAATTTATAGATATGCGCTTTGATTGTCTTTCAATCTCATACTTTAGATGGATGAATGTTAAGCTGAAATATTTAATTTAAGTCTAGTTTGATATAGACTATTTTTTGGATATGTCATTTTAAACGAACTGTATTTTTCGAAAATTCAAATTGGACCAGAATGAAACAGAAAGGATATTGAATTTTTAGCTAAAATATCACTTTTTTTTAAAGGAAATTAAGCGAATATTTAAACATTTTACGAAGCAGATATATCAAAAGAAGTCGGTGTTCTTAAAATTAATTAAGGAACTTAACGGAAAGGTATTTACACAAATTTTGAAACATGAGTACGAATTTATTTAATTTCTTTTCTATACAATCCATACCAAAACATGTGAAAATAGAATACATATTTAGACTTTCCTAACAAAATAATCAACAAACAATATTCAATCACAATATGTTTATATTGCATATTCGACTCGAATCAAAATTTAAAGACAAAAGTTATTTTCCCTCATAAATACAAAATGTGTTGCCTAAATAGCAATGTCAATGAAGAAGAAAAAGATCGTTTATTAATTTATCTTCTTAGAAGATCACAGCTATTCATAAAAATATTTAATAATGGAATACGTTTATTCACTTAATTTACGTTTCTTTGGGTGTATTTTCAAATTAGCACTTTTGTTGGTTTTATTGTGGTATTTCAATATATTTAGCCTCCCAGTGGAACAACGGTATGTCTGCGTACTTACAACGCTAGAAATCGGGTTTCGATACCCGTGGTGGGCAGAGCACAGATAGCTCATTGTGTAGCTTTGTGCTTAATAACAAACAAACTTATTATTGAAATTTGCAATTAGTAGTATAAAGTTCAATGTACGAGTCAGAAAAGTCAAATAAAAGATTTAACTACAAATATATTATAAACGTGTTTTCTAGCACACTGGTATGATATTTTATTTCCTAAGTTTACGAAGTAGAGTGATTTTTGAAATACATTTAACTTACAACTTTTAACCTTGTCACTAGATTTAATGTGAAATGACGAACGCGATAGTCAGGAGAAAATACTTGTAGGGTCTATGTTAGTTCAACTTATATATAACATAGACATTTTGGAGCTTTATTGTTCGTCGTTGTGTATATAAATACTTATGGTACTTAAAAATTGTTAGCAAGGTGTATGTATTTTTAGCACGTAGCAGTAATTGGTGTGCTGGTAAAAATGTTATTTGATCGTTAATTTTTTTTACGAAATACTCTGTTATAATGCGTTAATGTTCGTTGTAAAACATTTTGTAATAAATACGAACATTGCGTTGTTAAGATTACTGTCTGCGAAGCATATTTCGAACTGGGACTGCTTCTCGTTTTTACTCCTTTAGTCTTCCATAAAATTACTGTCGTTAACATATCACTGAACTTTATACAAGTATTGACATTGTTCATGTAGGTTATTTATCTACTGAGATTTTGTACGTTTTGAAAAACTCAAACAAACAAACTAAACTAAAATTTGAATAAAGACACATTCACTTTATATAAATCAATATTAAATAAAGTTGTAAATGTAGTAGATTATAAGCCACCTTCAGCATCCGTTATAGAAACGCTAAGCCTTTTTTTTCGGATTTAAATTTGGTATTTAAGATTTTGAATAACGAAGTTTATTACCATTTAAAGCAATTATTATATTATTGTATATTTTTAAGAGAAACTATAATGTTATAAGATTATTGTTGTATATTTTGATATTTAATTTCAATACATTTACAATATCTTTTCCATATCATTTCAATACATAGTGAGTTGGAAAATATATATATATTAAAAATGCTACTCAACAGTGTATTGATTTTAATGTATGAGAATACAACTTTGCAATAGCACAATTGGTTTACAACCTTTTACCCTGTTTAATTATAATGGCTTCATGGTCGTATTATTGTATTATTGTAAGTATATTTGTTGTAGTCACGATTACCATCTTTGATATTTTGTGACAGTAAATTGTTCTGGTTCTCTTTTCTTGTGGCGTGTTATTCTTTTATTAATATTTGTTTGTTTTGAATTTCGCGCAAAGCTACACGAGGGCTATCTGCGCTAGCCGTCCCTAATTTAGCACTGTAAGACTAGAGGGAAGGCAGCTAGTCATCACCACCCAACTCTTGGGCTACTCTTTTACCAACGAATAGTGGGATTGACCATCACATTATATCGCCCCCACGGCTGAGAGAGCGAGCATGTTTGGTGTGGCGGGGATTCGAACCAGCGACCCTCAGATTGCGAGTCGAGCGCCCTAACCGCCGGGCCTCACTTAATATTTAGTCTCGCCAATAAATCTCCACTAAACTCGCGAGGCGTTTTTGTTTTTAATATTTTACGTTTTAGGACACAAATGCTTATAAATATTGTGAATCATAAACTTTAAACATCCAGTGTTTGGCAGGATTGATTATCGCTAGGTGGATAAACTTTAAACATCCAGTGTTTGGCAGGATTGATTATTGCTAGGTGTAACTATGTATTATTATATTTTGAGTGACTATAAACGATAACATAATGTTTTTATCATCCAGAATCGTTCGTCAAACAAACTATATTCATAATCATCCCTGGTGAGTCAGCTGTAAGTTCTCATAGTTACAATGCTAAAATCTTGGGTTCGATTCCCCTCGGTGGACAGAACGCACATAACCCATTGTGTAGCTTTACGCTTAAACAACATCAACAATATATTCATAAACAGGAAATTTACTTTCCAGCGATAACATGAAAACTGCTTAAACACTGCAACTGTTAATATCTAATTTAAATAATTAAGCTGCACTTGGAGTTAAGGCCGGGCGTGGCATTGAGACTAGTAAGGCCCATACTGTGAATCCTAGTGGTCATGGTTAGCATCAAGTTTTTGCAGTTAGTACGCTATAGAAATTAGGATCACTATTTGGTCAGATAGAAACAGCCAAAGGGTTGGCGATGGGTGGTGATGACTAACTGCCTTACCTACAATCAGTCAGTTTAAATTTAGGGACGTCTACACACAGAGAGCACTTATTTAACTTTACGCGAAAATTTTAAAACCCAGACATTAATTCGGAGCTAGCTTTACAAGCATGCATATAACTTTGGAAAATTAACGAGTAAAAAACTAGGGGTTATCTGATATGTCATCATAAGTTATGCATACTCTTGGTTAAAACTGGAACCTGAAATGTTTAAGATGAAACATTATTCATTTCCATGACGTACAGATATTTTTTAGATTCTTCATTCCTGTATTTTCGAATAAGAAATTTTATTTATAAATTTCAAATAAATGTACGATGTATCTAATGAATAATTGCTAGTTTGACAATTATTAACCCACCACTTTAAGAAACAAATTCTTTATTTTGAAACTCATAAAAATATTTTTGATGAAGCAGTTTCGTGCCAAACATTTCAATTTTTTCAAGCTAGATTGAGTTGGTTTTTGGAAGCTGACTGAGACAGAATAAAAAAATGCACATCAAGAGACAGAGAACTGACTGTTTCACACAGTCTTTCAATAAGTAACAGAACAGCTAGTAACAACACCATAAATTACCGCGCATATTAATTTCTCTAAACTAATCTCACATGTTAATATGGCAAAACTTCAGTTAGTTGTAAAGAAATTGCAGACAGAGGGCGCCTTAAAGCCATCATTAAGAACAATGATAGTGGACTTTATGAATTCGTTACATTATATGTATATATGTTCGTCTATAGTTCAGTAGAATACTCAAGATATTTGTATTTTTTCAGAAATCTTTCTACTGTTTTATTCACTATAAAACTTCCTTTTAACGTTCTTCACACACACACACACACAAAAACGCCTTCTGATAATAATATAAGGGAGTAATGGGAAGTTATAATAATGTAGCACACTTTTCTGCCTACACTGTCACGCAAAAAGTATATATATATATGTTCGTAAACAGACTCGTAGAACAGCGTCCTTAGAACCTTTTGATACCTTTTAATGACATAATATTTGCTCGCAAATGTTTGTCCAAGAAAAGCTATAACAAAGGAAAACACGAGTGAAGATAAAGTCAACTTCATTGAGGACATCTACCCATTGATCCATCCATTTATCGTCAAATTGCACTTTGTTCTACGAAATGAGCCTTGAGAAAATATATGTTATTTAGGTGAAACAAATAAACCCAGCACTTACAAATATGGTCTTCTCGAGTTATTTTGAAATGCGTGTAATAAGGGAATCTGCATTTTTGTTGCAAGCGATGAACAGCTGTAAGATTACATGCATTTTTATTTTAGCAATAATTGGGGAGAAGTTGCTCTGAATGTATACAGTAAACGGAGAAGTCGCTGCTAAAATTAAGTATATTAAATAGGCTACTCTTTTATCAACGAATAGTGGGATTAACTGTCACATTATAACGCCCCCACGGCTGAAAGGGCGAGCATGTTTGGTGGGACTAGGATTCGAACCCACAGACTGCGAGTCGAGCTCCTTAACCACCTGGCCATGCCGGGCCAGTATATTAAATAAAGAAGCATGTAAACTGAAAGAAATATTATCAAAACAGTCGTGTACAAGAAGAATGAAAAACAATGATAAGGTGTAAACTATTTAAAATCATTTATAAGATACAAATATAAAGTGATCTGTATAATTTTGCTGAACGCAATAACATGTAAAACTCTTAGGACTAATATTCATGATAAGTAAGTTAGTTAAATAGGAAAGTATGCAGAGAATCGGCACGTATGAACGGTTAATAGAAACTATGAGAAGAAGGTAACTACAGTGCTTTGGTCATGTGAAGAGAAAAACAGACACTCTTGCAAATGTTATCCTGCATGTGGCCTGGCAGGGAAGCGCAAAATAGGAATATCAAAAACAAAGTGGATGATAAACACAATGGAATAGACTAAGACCTTAGCACCTAGAGAGTTATAACAGCTGAATCAAAGGTGACCCAACGATCCGAAAGGTTATTGGTCTGATTTGGTTGATTCCTGATAAGAAGTCTCTGTAACTTAAAGTTTTTATTGCACATTCGTAAGAATCTTCTTAATTTCTTACTTCATTATACGATAGAAAATAAATTATGATAATCAGTTACTTCTTAAACTCCACCCAAATAATATTTTTTAGAACTGATTATCTTGTTTGTTTGTTTTGAAGTTAAGCACAAAGCTACACAATGGGCTATCTGTGCTCTGCCCACCACGGGTATCGAAACGTGATTTCTAGCGTTGTAAGTCCGCAGACATACCGCTGTGCCACTGGGGGGCCTGATTATCTTATTAAATGATAAAAAAATCTCATTATAATCAATTACCTCTTAAACTCCACCCAAGTAATATTTTTTTAAACTGATTATCATATTAAATGATAACAAATCTCATCATAATCAATTACTTCTTAAACTCCACCCAAGTAATATTTTTTAAACTGATTATCTTATTAAATGATAAAAAAATCTCATTATAATCAATTACCTCTTAAACTCCACCCAAGTAATATTTTTTAAACTGATTATCATATTAAATGATAAC